CTGTGCTCCGCAACGGGAGAGGCCACAACAGTGAGAGGTCCGCGTACCGCAAAAAAAAAAAAAAAAAAAATTGAGAAAAGAGACACCTGCAGCCTAGACACAGAAGTGCCTCTTTAAAACCCATGTAAGAAATAAATATGGAGGATCAAGAATTTCTTCCTGGAACTAAAATCAGGCTGGACTATAGCTCTATGACAACCTATGTAGGTGGTCTTGGATCTGCCTGAAGTACAGCAGTGTGACTGGAAACACTCAATAATCAAACTCTCTATTTAATGGAGACTATCCTTTGGGTATAGCAGACATGATAAAAACAGCCTTGAAAACACTGCCTTTAAGCACTCTTTAAGCCAGGCTGGGGCCAAACTACATTTGGAGACTTCTGAATTTTTACAGAATTTCACCAAATCTCACCAGCTAAAAGGGTTTCTTTTTCTTTACTTCTTACAAAAAGTCCAAGGCTCAACAGTTTTAATTTGTCTGAGACATCTCTAGTTAATTCTTTGGCCTATATACAGAAGGCAGACAGTGCTTTCCACAGAAGAGAACTAAAGTTCCCTAAGTTTTCAAATGAAAAGATGGGCATGTCATTCAGCACAGTCTGGTGCTTGGCTATCTGGGTTATGTTAAGTGCAAATTCCCACCTCCAGGGATCATGAATCAGTAGTAGTAATGGCAGCCCAGGAAATATGCATTTCAGAAAACATGCCAAGAGATTACAATACAGGTGGTACAAGGAACAGAATTTGAAAAACACTGCTCTACATTCCTAAGAATGGTCTTAACTACATACTATACTACCAAGGAAGAAAAATAGCAACAAGAAGCAATTTGTAGACTTCTAGACATTATAACTCCCCCACAATTTTGTCTTAAATATAATGGGTGTTCTCACAGTGCTGTGCAGAAGTGGGTTATGCCTCCTGGATACAAGGTGCATCTCTTGTACAAATGGGAACATCCCTTGAATCAAATGTTGACCTCTGAAAGCAATGGTTTCTGGACATGACCAAACAAGCCATGCTTAGTTCAAATTTTACCTTAATTACACAAGTGAAGATTCAAGAATGGATAGTACATGTGTTAGGAGGGGAGGACAAACAAACCAACAGTGCTCACGAAGCATTTAAGGAACTATTTCATGCCCCCTTCATAAACAATTCAACAGTTCAGAGTAGCAGAGTGCAGCAAGACGGAAGCGTTAATTTACACAAGCACTCTGGATGGCAGAGCAACAGGTGGCAGATACCATCAAGCAATCTCTTGAACTGAAAGAATTCTTATGTATAGGCCAACTTTAATTGCTGTGTCATATGAGTTCAGTAATACCAGCTCAATGAGGAAAGGGAAACAAGAAGCTAGGAGGAAAAGAGGAGGAAGCATTGCCTCCATGATGTTCTGGGTGACAACTAACTGCTGTCCCTTTAAATTAGAGGGTAGGGGAAGTCAAGGAAAATAGCGAGAAAAAAGTGGGGGAATAAGGGAGATGAACCATCCAGCTTGTGGGAAGCAAAAAGGCTTTCATATTTTCTTCCTGGTACATTATGCAGTACACATTAAGGTTTTCAAATATTTAATCTTTTGTTTTTGTGGTATCACTGTGTGAATGGGAAGGGTGTGTAGGCCTATTTGAGCCTACACCATAGGGGAATAGGGACAGAAAGGGCTGTTCCAGTCAATTACTCAATTGTTCCAGTCTACAACTCATTCTAAGACTTGCAAGAGTAAACCGACCTTCCAATTCTTTTTCCAACACAGAAGCAATTATTATCATCTATACTATTAAATGTAAGAACAAGAAATACTTTTCTACAACTGAACCTATAAACTAATTTCTTTCAAAGCAATAGGGGGCATGGCTTTAGAGTTTCAGTTTTTTAGAAAAGCGAATAGAAGCATGAACAAAATGTTCCTACTGTTCAAGACTCAGCTATACTTTTTTCCTGAGATGGTACTGAAAAACAGGATTTTTGTTTGGGGGAAAAGTAAACACTTCTCTTGTTACAATACATTAAAAAAAAAAAGCAATTTTATTTGAGTAAATAGAAATATAAACACTTGAAAGACCAAGAGAAATAGAGGACTTCTTACCTTGCCATCACTTCTAGGTTTAAGGTCATTCTGTTTAAAGAGGAAAACAAATAATATTTTAAGACACATCTAAATGAACTCTCATTACCTGCTTATTTCTAACTTTGGAACATGAGACTACATTCTGGTAGTAGTAATTCCCTGGGAGATGCCAGGGTCTACAGAAGGGTACTGCCCACTCCCCCACCCCTGCACCCCTGACTCTGAGCGTATCAGGGTCCCTTGTTAGAATGGTATGGTTTTAAAAGTCCATAGTTACCACTTTTAGCAATGAATTTGCAAGACCAAACTACTATTTTAGGTAGAGATATTAACTGCATTACAAAAAAATCAATCAAAAATTATCCCACCTCCAAAATCAGTTCCTTTTCATAGACACTATATGTGTTGATTTACAGACAAGAAGCTCTATCTTAGCACAGTAAGGCTAGATGATTTTGGAGAAAATTTAGCCTAATGGCTGGGTTGAACGAATTTCCATTTTAGTAACTCATTCCCTCATCATGATCTGTGGCTGTTGGATAGCTTCCTCTCTCTACAAGCACTCCTAGAGCTCAGCTAATTCTTACCGGATGCACATCACCAATATAGTACTGTTTGAGCATTTCTCTGGCATCAGAGGAGTGGCCTACATCTTCAAAACTTTCAGTTGCATCTCCACCAGCTTGTTCCAGCAGAACCTCTTCTCCGCCAGGATGCTACAAGGAAAAGATATTTACTGAAGAGAGGGCTGTCTGAAAAGCTAACTAATGTAAGCTACTTCCCCCTCCCCTCTCCTCTTTTCCCCTTTCTCCCTTTAATGGCAGCAATGGGACGAATCAGCACTGCATACCCCATGACAGGATGCAATGGGGAGAACACAACGTAACTCCTGTGTCTTTTGGCCAAAAATGCATAATGTGGGTTTAACTGTGAGGAAACCTAGGACAATCGCAAATTGAGAGATATTCTACGAAACGACCAGCTGTGACCTCCAAAAATATCAAGGTTAGGAAAGCCAAAGAAAGAATATTATTCTATTCCTGCAACTTTTCTGTAAGTTTGAAATGGTTTCAAACTTTAAAGCTAAATTAATAAATAATACCAACATAATTGCCTCTATACCTAGAAAGTAGATTCTATCTATAACTTACATGCTATATACCTTGGATAAGTTATTAAGAAATTGAGATGTCTTTGTTTCCTTATTTGTAAAATGGAGACAATATGAGTACCTATCTTTACCATTGTGAGTACTATATGAGATAAGGATAGGAAATACTGTGTACTCAACAAGAGAAAGGTATAGTTAGTATAATGTGCTACCATCTATCATTTTAAAAAGCAGATACAAATATGCATGCATATGCATAAAATCTCTCTGGAAACATTTAAGGGAACCTGGTGGCTGGGGGACAGGTGCAAGGAAGACTTTTCACTGTACACCCTACCGAAACTGGTTTCGCAAGTACAGTATTACCTACTCAGAAAATAATTTTTTAAAAATTGCATTTAGCACAGTCCCTGACTTAAACACTCAATAAACATTTACTAAAATAAAATAAAAAAAAAAACATTTACTTACAACTAGCAAATTTGGAATTTACACTATTAGACATATATAGATTTATATTTTTGGAATATCAAGTAATGCTTTTAAGTAGTTACTTTTTATAACAACCTTTTAAGCAGGAATAATATTATCATCCCTATTTTAAAGATGAATTCAACAGAAGCACAAAAACTCTAAGTGTAACCTCCCAATCAGTCACTTGCCTCTGAGCTCCGTGAGGATAAGGAAACTTCTATTTTTGTCTCCTAAAAGGTCTCCACCCAGTGATGGGTCTCCCACCCCAGCATTAAGCATGCTGTTTTGAAGCAAGAGTTAGACAGCTGCCACTCATCTGTTGTTACATCTGAACCCTCTCAGCCCTGGTAAGCTATTATTTTTGGAATTGCGTCCCAACTTGCTCTATGTACCTAAACTATGGAAGACATCTTTTCCTTATGACACATCCCAACTATTATGCTGCCTTTTCAGAGTAAAAGGATAACAAAATGTCTTAGTGGTTTGAGATATTCCAGAGAATGGTTGAGTTTATGACTCCCTACATAGCTCTTTCTACAACTACAAAGTATTTTCATTTTCACCAATCTCTCATCATAAATAAATAAATAAGCAACTCTTTTATACTTTTTTTTCCTACTGTATGGGGAAAAAAAGAATAAGGAATCAACTACAGCTTTATAACAGAAATAAGTACAGTTAGTTAACATTTTGGTGCATAAAACCGTTTTTCCTGTCCATTCAATCATTTCAATTATTATGCTTCAATTTCTATTGAATACTTACAATTTAATGTACTAGGCAGTGATGAAAGGTTTTGTGTCTTCATAAAAATGAGTTCATATGGTATATACTGTTTTATAGCCTGCTTTTTATTTTTCATAGAGGCCAAGGAGGGTCAGAGTGGTCAAAAAAAAGGGTTCAGTAAAATAACTCTCACTCCAAAATGTGGTCTTAATACAGATGGTTTGGAGCAAGCAAAAATATTTCAGGGAACCCTTCGTTACTGTTTTAGAACTCTATAAACTTCAGACATTATTTAAAATCAAACAGCAGCCCAGACAGAGGCAATGCACTAGGCCTGAGGCCACAGCAGAGCCCAGGCCAGCCCTGAGCCAAGATAATGCCCAGGCTGCAGGACAGAAGAAGTCCCTGAGGAGAATCCCAAGAGGAGCCCCAGTGTCCCAGGGAGGAGAAGCCCCGTGACCCTGGTCGGACTGGCTCTCAGTGGGCTGCTCAACTCCAACATGAGCCTCTGGGTGGTCCAGCCCATCTTTATCATCACCTGGGGGTGTGATCCACCACTAGGTGTCTATCCTACTGCAGAGTGACAAGAAGCTCAACCAGGAGCAAATATCTGAAATTAATTAATTCAAAGCACAGTCCTCAGGGAAAATGGAAATTATATTCCCAAACAGTCCTTGACATAAAAATATTACTTCAACAACCCAGAGGATGGAGTTTTCAAAAAAAAAAAAAAGGAAAATAATACCACCTTCTCCTACAACTGATCCCACGATGCTCACAGACGTGATGAAAGAGAACGTCACAAATGTCCTCGCTGTGATTCTTATTGGTGGATGGATCAACGTGACATTCTTAGGCTTTATCACAAAGTGCTATTTCCAATGACCCTATGTAAGCTTACGCTACAGAAAGGAATCGAGCTACCCATTATTAATAGCTGCATCCTGGTACTTCTGCTGTGTATTTGGGCTTCAGAGCATTCACTCTCCAAATGTGGGATAATGCCAATGACCAATCAGGGATGATGGAGACACAGATGACTGCAGCAGCCATGGCCATGCCCACCACAGATACCAAGAAAGCTTTCAAGACAAAGTGAAAAGTTTTGGAGCTAACAGATCACCAGAGGGCACCAGGTGATGTCAAAGAGGAGCACATGGCCAAACGCCTCCACCTGGAAGGCATATTCAAAAATGAATTACAGGCCTCTTTTTTTTTTTTTTTTGTGCGGTACGCGGGCCTCTCACTGTTGTGGCCTCTCCCGTTGCAGAGCACAGGCTCCGGACACGCAGGCTCAGCGGCCATGGCTCACAGGCCCAGCCGCTCCGCGGCATGTGGGATCTTCCTGCACCGGGGCACGAACCCGCGTCCCCTGCATCGGCAGGCGGACTCTCAACCACTGTGCCACCAGGGAAGCCCTACAGACCTCTTTTTGAAAGTCAACCAGGGATTAGCTGTTGGGAACTTGGAGTAGTCCTTAACCTTTTAACTTTTGTTTGCACTGGAGACTCACAGAATAAAAAGGAAAATGCATGAACTGGTGGGCATGCAACAAGGACCATTCTTGTCTGACCCAGGTTCTTTTTTATGTTTGAAACTAGAAGAAACGAGGCCTGTGTGCTGGGTGACTTATAAGGAAAGAGCTGTCTTTTAAATGTTTTTAAATTTCCTTCTGGTGCCTGCAGAAATGAAAGGCAGAGAAGGGGGGAAACTCAACTAGTGATAATATATAAAAACTTAGCAAAAATTCAATCTTTGGAAGAAACATTGCCAATTATAACTAATTATCATGTGCAATCAGCCTGACTTCTAGACCACAGTAAACTCCCGTTTTCTTGGGATCCGAATACCCTGTATTTTTATGCTTAACTTATGTGCTAGTATTTTTATAACTTCCTTTAAAAAACTAATAATTTTCATTACTGAAAATTTAGAAACTATGTATGAGCAAAACAAGTCTCTGTATTGTTCATTTTGAGCCTACAGAATGACATAAAGAGCAAATGTGTCAAAACTTTATTCAAATAAACTCTTTTTCAGAGTGAATACTCAGGACCAGGACAGACTTAGCAAACCTTCTATATCTCTTAATACTGTCCAGGGAAAGCTGATGACCCTGATATACTGCTGGATTCTCAAGTGCCTTCAGGATGACCAAAGATAGGTTAAATATGGGAGATTCTTGATCTGGATCTCAGAATATATCAAATCCACTGGGGGAAAAAAAAAATCAATGGTTCTGTACTGTATGTAACCACTCAGTTGAACTAAAGACCCAGTTATTCTGGATATGAGAGTTTACATATTGTTATAAGAAGGAAGATAGGGCAATTGCTGGCAGATACAAAGATAACGGTTGCCCAGGGATAATTCTGTCTGAATTAAATGTCCTAGGGAAGTGGCAGTGTGCCATTCTATACCAACAGTTAAATGTAATTTGCATGTTGAGTACTGTAATCAAAACTGGGGAAATCAGAATAATATCTGTGGATTGTATCAATATCAATATCTTGAGTTGTTTTGTACAACTACAGTTGTGCAAAATTTTACCAGTACAAGGAAATGGGTAAAAAGTACAAAGGATCTCTCTATTATTTCTTCTATAACTGCATATGAATCTTGTTATCTCAATAAAAATTTCATTCTAAAAAAATAAAATCAATTCCCTAAGTATATACTAGAGAAATGTGTATACATATATGAACTTATACACACACACAAATGATCACAGCATCATTATTCATTATGACCCTAAACCTGAAACAACCCAATATCCATAAGGAGAATATGAATAAACTGAGGTATAATCATACAATAGAATCCTAATCAGCTATGAAAAAGAATGAGGCACTGCAATATGCACAGAAGAATATAATATATTGAACCAAAGATGCCAGACACAAAACAATATATACTGTGACACTCATTTGTAAAAAGTTCAAAACGAGGGATTTCCCTGGTGGTCCAGTGGTTAAGACTCCGAGCTCCCAATGCAGCGAGCACAGGTTCAATCCCTGGTTGGAACTAAGATCCCGCATGCCACACGGTGCTGCCAAAAAAAAAAAAAAAAAAAAAGAAAAGAAAAGAAAAGGGCAAAATGAATCTATAGTGTTAAAGTCAAGAGACCTAGTACCTCTGGGAATGAGGAAGGAGGCAGTGATTGGGAGGGTCTACAAGGAGAGGTTCCAGGATGTTATAATGTCCTAGATGGTGGTTATCCAAATGTGGTCACTTACTAGAGTGACACCATATGGCTAAATCTTAGGAATATATAAATAGTGGGAAAATAAGTTCCAAAATACCACAGACACAACTGCCTTTGCGTATACTCTATATATAGTCAAATGATCTTTGACAAGGGTGCCAGGACCACTCAACAGGGAAAGGACAGTCGCTTCAACAAAC